AAAGGAGGGAAAGCAATTTCGTGTTGTTTTTCCCTTGTAAAGAGAGGAATTTCCGTTCAATCAGCCAACCCCCGCCCCCTAAAAAAAAGCCTAAGGGTCTTGGCTTCTACGGGCGGTACCTGCCACGTACGCCATAGCTTTAGTAACTAGTATTAACCGGTTGGGCTTCTGCTTCCTGAACACTCAGTCCCTTTTTCCCTTATGCTGATTAATTTCAAGATGGAGGAGACAGCCACGTTCCTTCCCTAGACAGTTTCACCATACTTATTCCACAGGTTAGTCCTGGAATCTGAGGCCTAGCAGGTTTGTTAAATAGGTCATTCTTTAGTTTTGGGGAAAAGGGAAGCATTTAATATCAGGTTGTCATCCACCTTTTGCCCCAAAATAATTTTTTGCTGGAAATAAGGAGCCTGCACGTCCTGAATGAGAATTAACCACAATATCTTTGGGTGATTGAAGGAAGGAAGAAATAAACGTACTACTTACTAATCATTACTTTCATTCTTCATGATTAAAGACAAAATAACTACTCATGTCATCCCATCAGGTACATTATGTTCATCCAGGATTACTTGAGAACCGGCAGGCACAATTTTAGTTCCTCCCCCCCCCCCCCCCCCCCCCAAAAAAAACACCCCGTTTTTCTAAATTGTAAAAATAAAGTGCCCAGGAAGACCAATCTAAATACTTTTTAAAATATGATTTTACGACCCACTTTTCTTACTGAAAATGTTTCATCCTGATGTTCTTTCATACTTTTTTTAGCTTCTGCCTTCAGCCTAGGCCACTGCTAGGACTACTTTACAGAGGTAACTGTAAAGTGCCCAATAAGTCCTCAAAAGTATCAAAATATGAAAATAATTACTGATCTGATAAATGATAAAGTAAGGCATATTTTAAGCAAGCTTATATTAAACGGTAGATTCGAAATCTTATATCTAGCATATGAGATTCCTGGTTCCTTCTAACCTCAGTCTCCCCAAATATCTTAATACTAATATTGAATTAGATTTGGTAGTTGTGTGTTTGTGTGTGTGTGTTGTGTGTGTGAGAGAGACTACAATATATAGGATGTATATTTTTTAAAATGTGTCTATTTCAAAGAACATATAAAAGAGGAAGAATAATGGATTCTTTTTTTTTCTAGAGCAGAGTATGAAGAAAACTAAAATCCAGTTTATTGTATTACAATACTATGTCATAACAGTCAGGTAATTTATTTTTTTGTTGCGTCTCCTGATGATTTATGTATAGAATGCATGTTTTAAAATATTCTGTTTTGCAGACCCTGTAATTGGATGGGCTTATTTGATACATGTTAGTTGGTGTTGGGCATACTTCATGATGAGAATGGATGTTTTATACTGGTAATTCAAAGGGTAGTGTTTCTAAGTAGCTGGAACTCATTAGTGCTTTATCTGTGAATTTTCCTGTTTTAAAATAATGTCTGAAGTTTACCAGTACTTATGTAGAACAGAATGAACAAGATGGGTATAAATAAATACTGTTTATATGTTCATTGAATAGCTAAATAAAATATCAGTAGACTTTCTTACAGGAACATGATCTTACATTATTTTGTGTTCTATTTTTTCTTTCAAGATTCAAAAAGTAACTGGTATATGATACTTTAATTGGTATTAACTCTTGTAATCATCATTGTTAAAGTAACCACATAATTTATTGCCCTAGCCAGGTTTCTTTTAAGAGCAAAAGGGACATTATTATGTTTGGACAACAGGCACAAACAAGATTGTCCTAAGCAAACTGGGATGGGTAGTTAGCCTAAATTCATAACTAACTTGTATTGAGTGCTTATGTGCTAGATCTTGTGCTATTACATGAATGATTTTATAATCATCACAGCAAAGCTTCATGAGGATGTTATCTATTTTACTGAGGTAACTGAGACTCCAGGAAGAGGTTATTAAGTAATTTGTCCTCAATTAAATAGCTAATAAGTAGCAGAGCCCCCATTTTAACCCAGGTCTGTCTAATACCTGAAGTCACTAAACTTTTTTGCCTCTAGACTTAATTGCTCTGTTTAGATCAGAAATGCAAAGAAATGAAGGTTGTAATAAAAAATCTATAGGTTATATTGCATCAAAAACTTAGAGAATCTGCTTTATGAAGCAGGTGAGACTTATTTAGCAATTACCCCCCCTCCTTTTTTTTTCCCATCTCAGCTATTACTATATAATTTGATAATTTAAAATCAGCAATGGTTTTATGAATGGCTTAATTATGAAATGACATCTGCAAATATTAGGCTGGTTGGATATATTCTTTCAGGTCAGTGAATATGTAGTATTAAGTAACACAGTAGGTCAAAGATGCATCTGCATTCATGGAAGTATAATGTGTATATTACTTTTTCCACAGCCCTAGTGGATTGGGAAACAGCAAATCATGGACCAGCCTCCTTACAATATGAAACCAATTACAATGTGAAAAGTCCTGGCAAACCCAGATCAATGAGGTGCTAGAATTTTGGGCTATAGCCTTGGGCTGGGATGTGTTTTTCTTTCGTTTGTCTAATTCCTTAACATTTCTGTGTAACACAAAAGATTTAAAAAGTAGGCAGTTTACTTAATCCCTTGAGGTTTTGATAACCAATATAAGAAAGCAGTAGTACTTCTGTATCTATTTTTCTAAACCTTGAATATGGAAGTTTCCCAGAAAGTCAAGCAGTTCATATTACCTTTTATCAAAAGAAATATCTATTAGATTAAAAAAAATCTTGGCAATTTTGAACGATTTGGGAATATACTTATGAACTTGTGGTTTTGTTTCTGGAATACATATAGTCAATATTTTAATGTCAATTTTCTTGCATTTTAGTGCTCCAACCCAAGATTTTAATTTCTTTAGTCATAATAGCACCTATATATGTTGAGACAAATAGCTATAGGCAGTGTGTGGTATGTATATAGATTCGTGGACCTCTTCTAATAATTTCATGACTATAAGTTGGGCTTCTGTTAAAACATTTGCATGGTGATGGAACTTACTGTGTGTGGGGGGGATATTGTGTTCAATAATCTTTTCTGGAATGAACAGTCTCTTTCCTCTTGCTCTCCACTGGCCTACAGGAAGGAGTTAACTCTTAATTACAATTTTCATTTTTTATTCACTAAAGTTACCGGCAGTTACATCTAAGTAGCCATATAATTTATTCAAACTGGGTCACTTTTGAGAACGAAAGAGGACCAGGTTCCTATTAAGTACTATAGGACAACAGGTATAGACTGCTACTGTACAAACTGGGGATATATAGTCACCTTTGTCATCATTTCTATTTAGAAACACAGGTTCAGGAAGCACAGTTGTCAGCATGTTTGGTTCTGTAACACAAAATTGATTTCTTCAAATAATATGTCATTTATGTAGATAATAATTTTTTTTAGTCAAGTGATTTTAATGTATTTTTATTTATCCTCACCCGAGAATATGTTTTTAATTGATTTTTTTTTTGAGAGAGAGAGAAACATCAGTTCGTTGCCTTCCATAACCCTGACTCTGGGGATCGAACCCGCAACCTAGTTATGTGCCCTGACTGGGAATCAAACCTGAAACCTTTTGGTGTATAGGAAGAGGCTCCCTAACCAATTGAGCCACCCGGCCAGGGCTGGTCAAGTGATTTTAATTTTAAAAATTGGCTTCAGCCCTAGCCAGTTTGGCTCAGTGGATAGAGCATTGGCCTGCGGACTGAAAGGTCCCGGGTTCGATTCCGGTCAAGGGCATGTACCTTGGTTGCGGGCACATCCCCAGTAGGAGGTGTGCAGGAGGCAGCTGATTGATGTTTCTTTCTCAACGATGTTTCTAGCTCTCTATCCCTCTCCCTTCCTCTCTGTAAAAAAATCAGTAAAATATATTTTTAAAAAATTGGCTTCACTCTTATTTATTTAATATTTTTTATTGACTTCAGAGAGGAAGGGAGAAGAAGATAGAAACAGCAATGATGAGAGAGAATCATTGATCAGCTGCCTCCTGCACACCCCCTACTGGGGACCGCAACCTGGGCATGTGCACTCGACTGGAATCGAACCCGGGACCCTTCAGTCCGAAGGCTGATGCTCTATCCACTGAGCAAAACTAGCTAGGGCTTAAAGTTAATTTTTGATGGAAAACTCATGTTCTCAAAAATAGTACTTTTATTTACCAGTTATCACCTAAATTGCTAGTAATCAGTAATTTTACATTAGTAACTTTTTTATAAATACATGAACCTTCTGGGCTTTGAGTAATTTTTTTTTACTTTTTGGGAATAACGAAAAGCAAGTCAGAATGGAGTTTGTGTGGATAAGACCAAATTCTAATGTAGTGAGGCAGCTCAGTGACATGGGTAATAGAAGATGAAATTCCGTCTCAAGTACTGGAGTGAATTGAAATGTCATCATAATGGCTTCTTTTGAAAACTAACTTGCTCCTATGAATTGGCAGCATTTGGCTTGATCTCTGTCTTTGATTTGTTGACTTTCTTTTGATCTTATGTTTTAGAGCAGTGATGGCGAACCTATGACACGCGTGTCAGAGGTGACACGCGAACTCATTTTTTTGGTTGATTTTTCTTTGTTAAATGGCATTTAAATATATAAAATAAATATCAAAAATATAAGTCTTTGTTTTACTATGGTTGCAAATATCAAAAAATTTCTATATGTGACACGGCACCAGAATTAAGTTAGGGTTTTTCAAAATGCTGACACGCTGAGCTCAAAAGGTTCGCCATCACTGTTTTAGAGGGTTGTAGTAGGCAAAATTGTGAGCTGCAAGTCAGTAGACATGCAAAGAGATTAGACATATGAAGGACATTTCTGAATCCTTTTGTGTATTTTTGTTGTCCTTTTCAAGTGGTAGAAATAGAATATAAGTGAGGCTAAGCTAACATTGCCATACAAATAATATTTTATAATCTCATATTGCAATAGTATCAGCAGTGGTGGAGCCCTGGGTAGCATCCTCTGATAGGCCAGTGCTGGAAATAATCAACAAATTGTGTGGGTGGTGAGAGGTATCATGCAATAAGTAAAGGCAGTGAAACATCAGCTCTCCCGTGCTTTTAAGAGGAATGCTTTATGTTTATTTTCAAACAGATAAGATAGTCACTAAAAGGGAGATTGAAATACATGAGT